GTGTGTGTGTGTGTGTGTGTGTGTGTGTGTGTGTGTGTGTGTGTGTGTGTGCGCACGCGCGTGTGTGTGCGTGCGATTGCGCTTGCAAGGCCGTGGTGCGACAAGGAGTATGCCTGGAGTAACACCGCGCGCACGCGCGCAGGTACATGCGTATGTGTGCGCCGCGGCGAGCTCACAGTGAGCATGCGGCGCTGCCAGAGCGCCCAGCCGCCCGGCAGTCTCACCTGATGTAGACATCCTCTGCACGGTCCTGCTGCCACCGCGCGATCTCAGAGTCCGGCAGCACCCTGAGGCAGTCAGCCGCCGCCTCGAGCCCGACTTTGCTCTTGCACCCAAAAGGCCCGATGGGCAGGGGGTCGCGAGCGGTGCCAAAGTGGCGGACGATCGCGCCCGGATCCTGGCGTGCGTAGTGCTGGTAGCCGCCCTGCTTGATCTTCGGCGGCGTCGCGGGGCGCGTCTCCCACCGGAGGGCGTCGCGCGCCGTTTCGCGAGTGGCTCCCGGCGGCGGTCCCCCGGCACCCGCGGCGGGCAGCTGCGCCAGCGCCGCGGTGCTCAGATATTGAGGCGTGGCGAGCTTCATGCTGTCAAGACCCATTCTGAGGGCGGTGCAGGACAAAGCTGGCCCGGTGTTCGTCAAACGCGAGGTCAAACCTGACGGCCCCGGAGTCGACCAGGTGCGTGATGAGGAAGCTAGATGAAATAGTACGAGATGTTGAGGGCATGCGGTCCGCAACTCATCAATGTGCGTGCAATTCCTGTGTCAACAGTTTTGAGCCAATCGACACGAGTGGCGCTCTCGGCGGCGCTGAGGCATCACATGTTTCTAATGTCATCCTTAAATGAGCTTGCAGAGCACGCAGTAATGCGGTTGATCCAAGTCACCAGGCGCACCACCTGTAGCCCAGACGCACTTCAACTCCCTCCTCGCGAGCGAGTATACCCTGTGTCAAGCCGGCGTTTTATATTCGTACACGGTTCCTCACAAGAACCCAGCCTTCCGAGTTGCTCGAGATCACTTTGGAACAAAGCGCGGCAGACGCAGCAGCGCGAGGGCAGAGCGGACGCCCTGGCCATGGAGGCTGAGGGCCAGCCTTTCCTTGGCGATTCCGGGGCGGACGGGAACGGTGATCCGATCATCGAGGCGCTGGCAGTGCCACCAGAGGGCGCGGACCAGGAAGGGGAGCAGCAGTTGCAAAACGGCACTGAAGGCCATGACAGGGAGCCGGAGCATGCAGCGGTGCCCGAGGCGGACAACGGCGTGCCCGCTGTGCTCGAGGGCGCCGTTGCTGCTGCGCCTGATGTCGACATGGAGGCAGAGCCCGCGGCGCCGTTGCCGGCGCCGGCCGACGCAGCAGCCGACACGCCTTTCGCCCTGCCGCCACCGGACGCCGGGGGCGCGGCCGCGGACGCAGCGCCCGCGCCGCTCCCCGCCGACGGCGCCGAGGCCGCGCCCGCCGCGCCCGCGGACGCCCCCGCTGGCGGCGCCACGGACGCGGGGCCGCGCAAGCGGCGCCACGTCTGGGGCCCGCCCGCCAAGGGCGAGTTCCTGACCCTGGAGGAGCTGCAGGCCCAAAAGAAAAAGAAGAAGAAGAGCCGGTGGGAGTCCACCGAGGACGACATGCAGCTCGCGCTGGTGCCCGTCAAGAACGCCGCCAGCAACGCGCTCATCATCCCGGGCCAGATCCCCAAGAAGGTTGTGGTGGCTGGCATGGAGGTGAGGGGGGGAAAGGGTGGCGGGAGGGGTGGAGTGTGGCTGCGGCGCTGGCCGCTTGTGTGCGGACGAGGGCGCTGCGACACGTTGGAGGCCTCGCCCGGCGCGCGGCCTGAGCGGAGGCGGTGCTCTGCGCGTGCGCGCGAGCGGCCTGGCGCGGCAGCCGCGTGCGCAGCGCATCGTGCCCGTCTCGTTGACGCTCTCGCATGCACCTCACTGATCTCTCGCGCGCGCCCCGCACGGCCGCGTACCACTGCTCTTCGCTCGCCGCCCTCCCAACCACACACCCCCGTCCGCCTCGCCTCGCGCGTCCAAGATCACGCTGCCTGGCGGCACTGGCGGCGTGGGCCTGGGTAGTCGGGACCCCAAGGTGCTGGCGCTGCACGAGCAGCTGAATGACATCACGCGCAAGCTGGCTGTTGGGGACCTGGATATCCCGCCTGGTGGGTGCCTGGGGAGGGGGCTCGGCCAGCAGCCTGGATTGTTCATTCTTGGGGGCCGCAGGGTGCGGGCTGGTGCGGCGGCGCGCCGAGGCCCAGCGGCGGCGTGGGGGCCCTTCGGCAGCGGGCAAGGGGGCGGCCGCCAGGGCGGCCGGCAGGGCGGCGGGCAGTCTTCAGCCTGCGTCAGATTAGGCACACCGCCGGCTGCTGCGGCCCTCTGGACCGGGCCAGGCCACGGCCTCTGCTGCGCCTCGCACGCCCTGGCGCCCGTCACTATGCGTTTCGTACATCTCGCCCCGGCGCCGGCTCGCTCGGCGCGCTGTCGCCCCGCAGAGGGTGACCCGCGGCGCTCCCCCAGCCCAGAGCCCGTGTACGACAAGAGCGGGGTGCGCCTCAACACGCGAGAGATCAGGTGCGCGCGCGCGCGTGTTGCCCCGTCCGCGCGAGCGCAAGCGTGAACCTGCTGACATCTGAGTTCAGATGTGCTTCATCCATTCCCATCGCATGTCATTCCATTCCTTCCCTCCTCCATTCTATCAGCACTGCAACCCTCGATCCTGCCCCGCCCCTCGCTACCACCCAATCCACCTGCCGACCTGCTAAACTATCCACCCGCCCGCCCGCGCGGCCCTCCCCTCCCACCCCCTGCCGGCCAGGGCGCGCAACAAGCTCAACGAGCGGCGGCAGCAGCTGATGGAGGACATCATAAAGTCCGACCCGGACTACAGGCCGCCCGCGGACTACAAGCCCCGCAAGTGAGGGCCCGGGCCGGACTGTTTCAGGGGTGTGCGCAGGCGCGGACTGTGAGGAAACGCTTCGCTGGGGCGTTCAAGGCCTGGGCCTGTGAATGGATGATGGCGCCGTCCTAGCCAGTTCTCCTTGCATTGCGGGGCAACGCGGTGCGGGTGGATCCCCAACAGTTGGTTGTTCCGTTTCCCTGCCGCGATCTGACGCCCGCCGCGGGTCTCCCTACTCTGGAAACCACCCCCAGGTTCAGCAGCAAGATCTACATCCCCATCAATGAATACCCGGGGTACAACTTCATAGGTGGGGCGCCGCCGCAGCCGTCATCCCCATGCAGACATAGCAGGGGGGCGATGCAATCCAAAGCCCTTCGAACCCAGGCCCGGCACGCGGCTTGGGAAAGGCGTCTTCGCTGTCGCTCTGGGGGCCATGCAGATTGAGGGCGCACATGGCCCTGCCAACACACGCGGCTGGCCCAGTTTCGTGCCTCTGGGGCCCTTCTGGAGTGGGTGTTGACTCTGAGCAACCCGGTGCGCCCCCTACGCCCGCCGCAGGCCTGATCATCGGGCCGCGCGGCAACACCCAGAAGCGCATGCAGACCGAGACCAACACCAAGATCGCCATCAGGGGCAAGGGCTCAGTCAAGGAGGTGCGCGCAGTATTTTTGTGGGTGGGGGCCAAGGCGGGGCAGGGGTGTGTAGGTGTTTGGGCAATTGCGCCCATGCGTGCGTGCGCGTGTCTGGTTGGGCATTTGCGTGTGCCTGTGTATGTGCGTGCGCGCGCGCGTGTGCGTGAATGCACAGGCCTTCACACGTGCGCGTCGCTGCGCGCACCCTCGCATCCCCAACCGCTTTGTCGTCACTCATCACAGCAAACCCATCCAAACCCGCCATCCCTCCGACACACGCCCCTGTCCCCCACCCCCCACACACTAACAAAAATACTCTCACACTTGCACACCCTCTGTGTCACTCACGCACACGCACACTCAAACTACTCCCCCCCCCACACCCCCCCAGGGCATATCCCGTGACGTCAAGTATGACTACGGGGAGGACGAGGAGCTGCACGTTCTCATCACGGGGGACAACCAGCAGGACGTGAGCGGGGCAGGCCATGGTCCGGGGCCCAGGCTCCAAGGGACAGCCCCCTTTGGGCCACGGCCAACGCAGCATCAAGTCGTGCTGGCGGCCGCCACGATGGCGATCAGTCGCAACCCTTGCGGGCCGTCGCGTCGCCCCCCCGGTCTCCGCCGGCAAGGGCCGCGGAGGGGCCGCAGGCCGCGCCCCAGAAAGCAGAGCCCTGCGCGCTCCGCTGCCCCCCTGATCTCAAGCCCGCCGGCACCCGACCCCTCACGCGGAGCCCTGATCGACGCCGTGGCCTCCGCCCACACCCACCAC